CCATGCAGTTGGCAAGTAAATCAGCAGAAATTCAGCTCAAGTAACCACATAAATCTGCTCCAATGCATTACAACTATGATGGCAGTTTTGTTGTGTTTCTACCCCTTAGTGACCAGGCAATAACTCATTGCTAAAATGCACTGTCTAGTGTGTGACTGATGCAGCATTCTCACTTCCCCTCCTCTCCTTCAGTCAATCCTCTTCAGGAAGGGTTGAAATGTCCAGCAGCAAAATTAAGACCGCTTCTGGGCTGGCTTGCAATTACAGTAGCGTGCTAGATTTTATTTTTGGTAAAACCTTTCAAAGTATGCTCACAGTAGAATAATAAAAAAAATTTACTAATGAGGCAATAATAAGCGAGACCTAGAACACAGCAGAGGAATTAACAATCATGTGAGAGGTGGGGCAGCACAAAGTCAATCTGAAGCCACAATCACCCCAGCTAGCTATTCATTTTGCAGGAAATACCTCCCCATGATCTTTATTGCTAATAGAACCTGTTTGGATTTTTTTTCCGAAGGAAAATGAACACCTTTCTCATACGGTTTTAAACCTCCAAGTGCTACCAAAATGAATTCTTTGATTACTAATGCTGCTCTTGGATTTTTCTGGAATATTTACCCTCAGAAGAGAATTAAATCCTTCTCTCTGTGTCTTCCTCCTGCACACACACCAACCCCCAGTAAGCTTTTATAGCCACACGGGGTTTGGAATGAAATGCATCACATTTTCATTCTATTAAAGAAATAATGAAAGGAGGAGCAGCTAAGTGCTTGAGCTGGGTTTCATTCCAAATATTAAGCAAATGCCCACCCCACAAATATAAAGCCTCAGAACATGAGAAAATAATACCTCTTGAACCTGAAGGTCCAGCAATCACACATTTGTCCACTTCTATCAACTGGACCTGACTAGAATAGGTCACAGAAATTATATCAGAATATGCAGTAATGATGCTTAAATTGGTTAAGCAAATAACAACAGAATTGTCCCTTTAAAAGCTAATTGTAGGCTTGCCAACTGAGTGACCTACATTTGCCTGGTCAAAGCATCTGTGAGCTGGGGGCAAAAGAAATACTTTCAGAAAGGAAATTCTGTTTTGATATTAAACTATACACTCTTCCTTTCCATTGCTCACATGCCTAGAAATGCAAACTGACCCTATACAGGGTACAAAGCAGCACAGCAGACTTTCACGTCAGCTGCTGGCAACAGAATATAGAGACCACAGAACTATAGCCATGTGAGAAGGTGACGACTTTTGGATTATTTCCTCAGTGCAAACCTCTCCTCTCATTCCTCTTCCAACTTCCCTAAAGCTCTACAAAGAGAGCTTTAGGGAAGCCTTTTCCTTATTAACATATTTCTTTATTAACATACCTCTTTGCTTTACTTATTTCACTATTCTGGTGATAAAGGTAATTTGTTCTTTCTGCTCCTAAGAATCACATGTAAAGTCCACATCTTACAGGGGTGGACACAGGAGTTTTGCTGATGCACCATGAAAATCCAGTTGTATAGAAAGTGAAGGTAGCAGTTGCAAGCATCACAACACTCAGTACATCTATCTAAAGCTGCAGTTTTGTCTTCTCTAACACCAAAACAGAGAACTGGAAAGCCAAGAGTGCTAAACAGTACTAAAACCTAGTCCGTTAATGATATTTCCTTTTGAGATGTGTTTTCTCTCTTAAAGCATGCTATTCTTTTGCATGCTCTTATTACTTTTCCATATGATTCTCTCTCTAAGATGTCTAAATGCTTCGATATTTTTTCACTCTCCTCAGTCCTGTTTGCTCTTATTTTAGGGTATGGTCCACACATTTTAGCAAGGTGAAACTAAAAACAAGGCTGTGCTAATGGGAGCTCAACTCTTCAAAGCCAAGAAGATCTCCCTTCCTTAGTCAATAGACAGCACAGATAATCAACAGCTTTGTGTTTCCATCCTCATTCCAATGGCTGGCTAGAATTTCCGAACACATTTCAATTATGCAAAAATTCCACTTACAGCACTATGATCAAAAAGGGAGCACTTAAAACTTTAAAGATTAGGCTTCTAATTGTGAGTACCTCGGATCTCTTTCCCTGAGCTTCATATGCAGTATTGGTTTCTAAAACCTAACTGAAACATGTGAACTAACTTTCAAAACCTGATAATGTGAATATCCTCATCACTGATGAGGTATGTAAAAATTCATGATATACAAATAAAGTGAACAGTTCTTTGTCAGGTGCCGGAAGCAGAGAGAACTTTTCCACTTGTTGCTGACTGATGCCAACATATTTGCCTACTTTGAAGGACCGCTATTGCTGTGAAATCTATTTGACTTGGAAGCCATCCAATTTCATCTTATCATGCTATCAAATGTGAGCTTATCTCAGTCATAAGTATCCATTCCTTTTTTATTGTTTTATGGAAGTCTATTAAAATTACAGCTTGTATATGAAGTAATACAGGAGATAGGAATACCCAAAAGGAGTTTTCATTGACTGCACATAATCTGAAAATACAGATTTTCTTCAGTCTGACACCACTTTCCAGTATCACCCACTTAGTGAACAGCGAATGCTGTTCTACACTATAGTTTCTAGAGTAACTTAGACTTTGAAATCCGTTTTCCATATATCTGATAGGACCAGAAAGTTTTTACTCTGGATTTTGTAAATTAAGGAAAACTATTAGATTTGACATTCTAATAATTTAATTTTCAAATAACTTTTTTTTTTTGTTTTTACTCTGTTTTTACAATCACCACCAAAGAATCTGAAAGTTATGCAATACAACAGGCTCTAAAGCCACCAGGGACCCTCCTAACGCAAGATGGAAATAGCTTATTATGCAAATAAATTAGAAAAACAACTCTGAATCCACAGTCTTTTGACTAGGGACAGTGTGTGTGGGGGTGAAAAATCAACTGTGGTACAGAAGCTTACATTATGCTTAGGAAAGCAGAAGAAATTCCAAAAGCAAAGGCCTCCATCACACAGGAAAGTGGAAGCACAACAGACATTATGATCATTTTAATATTTCATATGTCAAGGCATTTATTAGGAATAACATAGCTTCACTTCCGCACAGTCAATATTATTTTCTGTTCATTGTCCTCTCATGTTCCAGCCATAACTGCAGTGATTGCTTCAAGACTTCCAGACTCCCCGGGCCTGCCTGCAGAGGCCACCACAACAGCAAGGAATAGCCTGCAGGGATGGAAGCCCAGCTGTGCCAGCAGCCTGGCAGCAAGTCTGCTGCAGAGGCTAGGCCAGCTGGGATCCCCTTGGAGTCTGAGGGTGCCAAGGGACTGGAGCAAACAGGCTTTGAATGACTTTGTGCTGATGAGTCAAGGCCAGGCTTCCAGTTTCAGTAATAACCCAGCTACATATTACAACCTGTAGCTTTTACGCTGTGCAGCTGAGAACAGAAGTGCATTATAGTAAATGATCAAGCAGGAAAACAGAAAAAAAGAAAATATTAAGACTTTTGTCTCGATGCAGTCATGTTAACACTGCTATCAAAAGCCTGCCTCTGGCATTCTTGGTTTTTTTTTATAGAGCATCAGTACCATACTGAAGTAATACTCCACAGGTCTAGGCTATGCATTTGCATGGGTTTGAAAGAAAGACAAAGCAGTGATTAAAGGAAATGGCCAACACCCAGGAAGATCAACATCTGAACAGCTGGGTCCTGCTTTTGGAAATACATGCTTTACTGAGACAAACAGGAGGCTAACAGGTCAACTTCTATTTTCAAGTATCCTTTTGATGAAAAGAATTTCTTCCTGGGTCTGAGGATGTATTTATTACAGCAACAGAGGGTCCCACTGTCTTATTCCAGTCAGGCTGGAATATTGCCTCAAGGTAACATTATTTGTTTGGGTCGGCAAGATGTCTTTTAAAAGGAATTACAGTTGATGGCTTCACCTAAGAATCTTAGAGAAACACATTATATGAAGGAGGATTTGGGGGAGGGGGTGTTGAGGTGGTTTTGGTTTTTTTGTTGTTTTTTTTTTTTTTTGCTTGGTTTGAGTTTTTTAAGTAAACCGAAAAAAGAAACCACCTCTCCATGCATCTCGCAGAACAGAGCTGAGAAGGAAAGAATCAGATAACTGCTGGTATACATATTCTAAGAAAAGACAGACAGAATAGAGGTGTTTCAGGAACACTCCCTCCCAAGGGATCTACATGCCCGTTCTACTCAGTTTTCAAACTGGAAACACATCTATTTTCCTTTCATACATATATGGAAAAAAAACCTGATAGATTGGTATCACAGAAGAGAAAAAAAGTGGTTTTCCAGAAACTGGAGAATTAATTGTAATTAATTGTAAGTGCACAGTCCCACACAGCCTTAATAACTGAACAGCTAATACTATAAAATTGATATAAACATATGCAGTGTTAAAAATATTCTGTGCGTTAAACAACCACATTTATTAATCAAACAGGAAATTTTGCTAAAAAATGTGGTAGAAAACAAAAAAAAGGAACAGAGAAAACAAAAAGCCCATAAACAGAAAGCCTATGAAAAACAGAAAACAGAACTAGAGTTTTGACTAGAAGAAAAGCGAATGGACAGTTGTGTGTCCATTCTTGGGTGTGGGGGTACGGGGGTGGGAGGGAAGTAAAACTTCTTTTCTCACTCAATTAAAATCAGAATGGCCACTGAAGTTAAGAATCCAAGTCTAAAGCTGTTACTTGTTCTGATTTTTATTATTATGGTGAAGATAGAAATGTCAAATGAAAGTGTAGCAGAAAAGTATCTCAATAAATCATCATGTAAAAGGAAATGCCTAGTGCAATTATAGAATAATTATACCTGTCCTTGGGTATTATCATATAAGTAGTCAGCAGGGAGGACAGCCTTCCAAAGAAGATGGCAAACATTGTAAAAGTCAGTCTTAGTCTTTAACAGCCTTTTGTAAGTATTAAAAAATATCAACTCTAATCTGACATGTCATTCTTAAAATACATCAGTCATAGCAAGAAAATGGTGCATAGACACATACCTCTTTTCTGGCTTGGTGTTCTGCCTCTGGGTCTGAGAATGCCTGCTGCCTCTCAATGCTCCTCTGCTCAGGTGGCTGTTATTATGGCCTCCAGAAGAAGCAAAGGCCCGAAGGCCAGCCCAAAGCTGCTCTTCATTCCTGTGAAGCGGCACAGATGTACGGATGGCAGAAATGACATGGCCAGGATAAGCAGTCAGCGAGTCCTCATGGTGATGGGAATGCTGATGAGCAAGAGTTCTCTCTGAGGCTGGGTACTGCCGCCCTGGCCTTCGGTAGCCCCTTTCCCGGTAATAGGCTGGGAGGCAGGGTCGCGTCTGCTCCATCACACCACCACTGCAGCTCCGAGAGCAGGCAGACCAGGGGCCCCAACTTCCCCACATGCCTGGGATTCCTGCACTGCTATCCTCAGATGCATCTCTTTGCTCTTCTATCCTCTGGGGAACCTGTAGACACAACAGATTGACTTAGGATCAAGAATCCACACTGTAATATGAGGGGAACACTAATATCCTTCTTATGGCATTCACTGTGCAGTCAGAATTGAAACTGAACAACATAGAAAGTAACTTGTCTTATTCATTCGCTATGAAACGGCTGCCTATTCTGCCAGTGTAAGAGATCTCCTACAGCCATCAAGCATTCAGACCAAAGGTATTTTTTTTACTATCTGGATAGGAATAGATTTTCTTTAGTTTTCAGCAATGGAAAACACTGTGTAATGCAAAGTTTGAGAATGCGGAGATTGCAAACTCAGAATATTACCAAAGTCAGGAAGTTAAGTAATATTTGGTGAGGAACTTGGGTCAACAGACACTGACTGCTCTCTTCCACTCTGATACCTCAACAATGGAGACAGCTGCTGGTTGCAATAATATTTCAGGAACTCCCACCTAATGTGGAACATTTTAGGAAAGCAACAGATTAAGAGCACAGGCTGATTTCCAACCAGCCAAAAAATACTGCTATAGTTATACTACCACTTTCCCCCACCCACATAAATGCTTCACAGAAAAAAGCTATTCAAGATGACCCGCCCAACCCTACATTCACAGAAATCACCATCAAATCCAGTAAAAGACAGGAGAAATTGTTGGTCTTGGGTGTTCAGCGCCACATAGCCCATACTCGCCATTCAGCAGCACAGGGAAACCAAAATAAAGAACCCCAAGGAGAGGGGGTTTTTGCAGGAAACTAGGAAGGATTATAAAGGGCAGGGACTGCTGCTCTAAGGAGAGTTAACCCCTCAAGCTATGCTAAATATTTAAGTATCATGACCTTGTGGTTGGTAAGGTATCAACACAGCCGGAAGTTACAACCTCCCGTCCCAATCTCCCTAGGGACTTGAACCGCAAGCTTTACCCATTCCTGCAACTAGGTATGTCAGGATTTCTCAGTCTTCGTGGTAGGCAGAGTACTCAACTTTGCTGCACATAAATCAGATGCATTTCCATTAAATGTATAGTTTTTCTGTTGCTTCCTTTGTCCAACTGGCTGAATCACAAGTTTTCAAAGTAGGCTTCCAATGTCTGATCTCCACAATTATTAACATGCCAAACATTCTTTCAACTGAGCATCCTTTAACAGTTGATTTATATTGCGAATAATCTTTGTACCAACAAGTATACATACAGATTAATTCAATTAGGAAACAAAAAAGGCACTGTCCACAAACAAATGCTTGAAACACCTCTCCAGCCCTATTTGAGTGTGTAGCTACCTCAAAATGAGCTTTGCATGGACAGCCTTGTCTGACTGTATGTCGCTTCTGCCCCCTTCAAAGGATAACCTAAACTCATAACTTCCATTAATAATTATGCCTCAAACATTATTGTTATAACAGCAAAAGATTAACATCTACATACGTTGCCTCTAGTCACAGATAACCTGCACAGTCACTAACTGAACTGCAAACCACCTATGCCAGTAAGCATACATTACTGATCAGCTAGCTATAAACGTGGCAGGCTTTGGTGGAATGTGGTTTGCAAACAGTTGAATACACCATTACAGTATGAAAATGCAAGCCAGAGCAGGGCCTGTGGTGCTGCTGTGTAGTAATCAGTTGTGGTCTATGTAATCTAAAACATTTCCCCACTCTGAGGTTGCTCTCACACTTCAATCACCAATCACAGAAAAAAAACTACATTTAATTATAACTTCCGAATAATAAAAAGCATCTGCATTAGTGTCTTAGGTTGCCCATTTCCCCAGTGTTATTTGAAAACAGGAGCAGATGTGTCTGGTATGTGGGTACCCCATTTGGCATCAGCCTTTTAAATCCATTAGTCTGTACAACCTAATACCACATAATGTCAAAATTATGAATAACATGCCACATCATCTTGGTTTCTGGCTGTTACATTTGCTTTCAAATCCAGTAACAGAACACCACTGGTTTACAGTTTGACCAACTAAACAAGCTGCTCTTCAGTCTGTGATTTTTTTCAATGAATATTCACTGTTCATACTTACACTACACATAAATGTATCTCTAGCAGAGATATAAAATGGTAATGGTGACACACAGAGACACTCTTCTGGCCTGACCCTGGTCTGCAGTAAATTCTTGTCAAATGAATAGTCCTTCATTATCAGAAGTCAGGTTTCACCTGTCTGAACTATTTCTTACTTATTTTTTTTAAAGCCAAAGACACTCATGCAGGCAACAACTAAAATCTGTTCATCTACAAGCAACTCAAGTCACCACTAACAATAAATATTTCGTTACGTAGAAATGGAAACTGATACAATAATGACAAGTGTTGACCTGTTGCAGAGAGAACTTTCTGACTGCCAGACTTACTTCACTGCAGCAAGAACTGTTTCCAGTAAAATGGTACTTTAAATGACTGAAGGCAATGTAAAGAAATTTCACACCACTTAATATCCACAGTAAAACAAATCTAGGCATAGCACAAAAAGGTTTAATTTAGATAGTCAAGTAAGAACACAATAATAAAACTAAGTAAAAAGTAACAGTATGCCTTATACTGATGTGCAAACCACTACTTAGTTATAAAATGACAACATTCTGAGATGGGAATTTTCATTAGTAAACCAGGTTATGCACTTTTATTTTCAATCAAGGTCTGTTTTCTTACTTTAAGACGGGGGATACAGACAAATCTTTTGAGAAGATGACGTGATTAATGGCACAACCTACTCAGTTTAGATTGTGTAGCCTACTAAAAAAGACTAATTTGAAGCTGCTTAGGTTAAAGAATGGAAAACATAGGGGGCAATCATGAGTCTTGCAAATGGTTTACACGAAAAAAACATCCAAGAACTGTTCATTTTCTCTTTGCAGCAAATTGTTCTCCAGGTCTCTCCCCAAAATACAAGTAACAGTGGATTTAAATTTAATCAGAGGTGATCCAAATTAGCTAGCAGGAAAAACTACTTAGTGGAAAGGCAAACAAAGCGCAGGAACAGATTGCCTGAGGAGATCCTGGCATCACAGAGGCCGATCTTGAATCCCTACCAGGAACAACTAAGATACAACCTATCCATGCCCGGGGCAGAGGAGATGAACTTCTGGTCTCACAGGTCACTCACGTCCTGATGTCCTGTGATTTCCCAGTTACTCTGTAGCCAGTAACGGATTCGACCACAGCCCTAGGATACATCCAAGAAATTACAGCTAGCTACAAAAAACAGCTGAAGTATTCCAGATCATCTCAGAAAAATCACATATTCAGAGATTCCTGATGCTAGGTCCCCTCCTCCTCTCCCTTTAAAATGTAGCCATTAAACAGCACACTTTCTTAAGGGAAGAGTTTTCGCCTGCACTGGCAAACAAGTGAAATGCACAGTGAGTTTTCCTTGCCAAGTTAAATCATGAAAGTAATTTCATTAATAAAATCACATAGCTTGCAAAAAGGGAGAGATCAACTTACCCACTTAATCTACTTTCCCTTAGTTCATGATTGATTCCTTCTGTAGGTAACCTAGTAATATCCATTCTGATTATAAATGCACTGCCAAAAAGATTTCTATCTACAGCAAATAACCAAATATTTTGCTCTACAAATTCAATCTATCTTCCCCCTCAATTTCACTCCATAATTCTAGCCCTTTTTTCCTGTACATTTTTCAGCTATATAGCAGGACAAAGTTTGCAAGTGGAAATAAGACATCTCACTAGGTACAGTAAACATTGTAAAGAAAAGACAAGCTTTCAGTGTGCAAGTGCTTGCAGTTTCTACATCTCCACTCATTCCTATCAAACTGCTATCAAAAATTCTTTAAATCAGAATTTTTCTTCATAATGGCTGTTACGTAGTAAATATCTTCCAATCTGTCACCTTTCTAACAGTGAGTGGCAAACTGAACTGAGGGTAGGTGTTCAGAAGGGCAGCCGCAGGGACACTCCTCTTCCTTTACACATCAGTTCAGGCACAACATGCCAAATTTTGAATGGGCTAAAGGAAATTGTAACTTAAACTTCAGAACCTGTTCAAGAGTAACATAATCCTATTTCCCTGCCAGTGTTGTAAAACACATCTATGGAACCACTTTAATTCTTTCACCAGTCTAAGCATCTTAAAGGAATATTCTTCCAGTATTAACTCAGCTGACTTCTAATAAAGACCATACCTATACAGCGACAACAATTTCCCAGCAGAAAGTCTTTACAGTCCATTTTATAGATGTTAATTTGCAACCACCATATTTTTTATGCCTCTTACAAGAAACATATGGAACACTGGTGGCTTGATAAAAACAATCTACAAAAAAAACCCCAAAAACTTTCAGATAACTTCTCAGATCTCTCAAGGCTAGGAGAAAAATGGAGCAGAGGCCAAACAAAACATCATGACACAATGTGTACATGTCTGCCTGGTTAGTATGCTCAGCTATTTTAATCCTTCAGTGTATCTTGGAAGCCTTTAATCAGAGATGTAGTAAACCATTTGAATTTTACAGTACGCAGTAAGTGTAAATATTACCAGCTTAAACGATTTGGGTTTCCGTTCTTTGTATAAAAACCCTGTCTGAACATCTGTGCCTGTGAAGATTAAAGGGCTAAAAAGCCTGGAAATAGAAGACCTTTGTATTCACAAATCACTGAAGGGAGTTACAATGACTGGGAAGTTTAACTGCCCCTTCAACCAACTCTGACCACATCTGAAGAAACTTTAACATTATTTAAATAGTCCAGAAAGTAAACAGCTCTGAAAAAAGTTCAGAACAGTTTCTGTACCAAGAGAGCCTGAGGCTTCCTTCAAGTTTGGCTAATTTTTTTCACACCAAGACCACCTCCATTGTGCAGTGTGAGACTAGTGTTTCAAGGAAGAGGTTTCTTTTCATTCTTTTGTAGGGCCATTAAGTACTTTCAAGTAAACGGGTCACTCCTGACCTCACTTCTGTCAGGTCCTATACATTCCCTACTTATCTACAGTGGGATTGCTTCCGATTTACAGTAGCATAAAGATGGTAAGGA